AAACCATTTGCAAAAAGTTTGGAGATAATATCTAAGGGTAATTCTGTAAGAAAGTCATTCATTTATTTTTAATTGTAGGACATATTTGCTGGTGGAACGGATACTACATCGATAATAATTGTATGGGCTATGGCTGAAATGATGAGAAATCCAAGTATACTCGCGAAAGCTCAAGCAGAAGTGCGAGAAGCCTTTAAAGGTAAAGTAAAGTTCGATAAATATGATGTTGAGGAGTTGAAATACCTAAAGTTAGTCGTTAAAGAAACTCTAAGACTCCATCCATCAGTTCCACTTTCGGTCCCAAGAGAATGTAGGGAAGAGACGGACATAAACGGCTACACTATCCCTTTGAAGACTAAAATTTTGATTAATGTTTGGGCATTGGGAAGAGATCCTGAATATTGGGATGACCCCGAAAGCTTTAAGCCAGAGAGATTTGAACAATGTTCTGTGGACTTTATTGGTAATAATTTTGAATTTCTTCCCTTTGGTAGTGGGAGGAGGGTTTGTCCTGGGATATCATTCGGTTTGGCTAATATCTATTCGTCATTGGCTCAATCACTATATCACTTCGATTGGAAACTCCCTAATGGAATGGACCCGACAGACTTGGATTTGACTGAATCGGATGGAGGAAGTACCGGTATGAAAAATGATCTTTACTTGATTGCGACTCCTTATAAACCTTAGACGCGCATCAACTTTGCAATTACCACTCTTATGTGGCATCTTTCTAAAGATGCATTTATCTTTTATCTATTAAGAATGTATCGCGATATATAGTTAGCCCTCCGGGCTAGCAAGTCTATTCAATATATATCTCTCTCTTTTTTTTTCCATGTATCAACAAATAAGAGCAAATAAAATATATTACATTGTTCCATATTAATAGTACACCAAATAGACACGAATATTGTTATCGCATTGGTAAGACTGCTTTCATCCTGAAATAGAGATTTTAAGTTTGAGCCTGCACAAGAAGAAAATTCTTTTGAGAGTTTCCACCTCTGGATAGGCTTGCAGTGCGTGATCCTGATTTAGGGGTTATAAGCTTTACAATAGTCTAAACTAACTCTAGGGGAGTGCATGATACTACAACAAAAATAACTTTTAACGGTAATAAATAGACACATTAATAAAAAGTGCTTAAGTCTTTATCGGCATTAGTTAAGTGTCATTAGATCCAGTGTCGCTAAAAGGCTCTAGGGACACATACAAAGAGTGCTAATTGTCGTTAAAAATACATATTTTAATAATAATTAAGTTATTTTCATTAATTAATTACCGCTAAAGATCATATTTTTGATATAGTAATATAAGTTTATTACCAAAAGAGTCATTTCATATTGTTCATTACTAACCATTCTATAATTTATTCCTTCTGTCAGTAAACACTCGATCATGTAAACACTCAATGAATTAGAGGGAATTAATACTATTCTCATCGTTTCAATTTGTTTGTCTTTCTTCATTTTTTAGTTCGTTTAAAAAAGTTTTTTTTTTTTGTTTTTGAGAACTCTATAATTTTAACTTTTCACTTGACATTGTTTAAAATCACAAGAATAATGACATTTTGGTACCATTTTTTTTAAATACCTTTAGTTATATTAAGATCACAAGATTAAAAAGTTCTATACAAGTTTTAAAAAGTAATTAGAGATTGAGTCTTCTGGTCTTAAATTAAATATATGTAGAATGTATCAAAACGTAAATCTCGCGGTCTTGAACGTACCACGTGAAAAGTCAGAATTAAAGATCGAGTAGTCAAAAACTAAAAGAGATAAATTTTTAAATAGATTAAAAAAAAATAAAATAAATAAATTGAAACGAAAGAGTATTATATAAAAAGTAAAATAAATATGCATCATCTTACAGTGTTTTAGTTGAGTTTCTAGTTAAGAAGTGCACAAAACAACTTTATTCAACAAGATAAATAAAAATAACGTAGTTCATCATCTTATAAGTGTTTCTGCATGACGTGTTTAAGACCAATATAAGATTGAAGGACATGTTTTGATACATTCTGCATATCTTTAGTTTAAAACCACATAAATTTTAAAAGACTTTTGTACTTTATTAAACTCTGTGTCAATTCATATTTACCTCGTACATAGCTATGTCATTAATAACGCGACACAATGTTGCATTAGCTTTAAGAATTTTATATGTCCTAGTTTGTGTGCAATATTTCGAACAACTTTACAGGGCATATATTACCTTCGATAGTATGAGTTTAATGAGATAATTATATTTCATTCATCACTATTTAGATATATATGTTTGTCTTTACAGTTATTTGAACTTACGATTTTATGATTCTTAACGGCCACTTCATTATTCTTTTTCTCCTATTAACTTTGATTAAAAAATTAATAATTTCAAAGGAGAAAAACTTTAGTACTTAATAAAAGTCACACCCTTGATGCTAGAAGTAATTTGGATAATATTTGGATATTGAAATTGATTGATTAAGTAATTTGGATAATATTAAGATATTGAAGTTGATTGATTTTTTTTTTAATATAGTAGTTAGTAGTAGGTTTTGAAAGATAAATAGCTATTTAATTATGTTGGACTATTGAAAAGTACTGAGAAGAAAGAATCAACCATTGGTATAAATATTAATTTCGAATAAAGAATCAATAGTCTTGCAATGGAGAAAAAAATTTGAAAATCCTTATGTCAATTATTTCAATCGAGATTAAAGTTGATAAAATAGTGAACTGTAAAATAAAGTTATGCTAAGTTAAAAATATTATTTTACTTTATACTCCTTCCGTCTCATTTTACGTGGCACTATTTTTTTTGGTCCCACTTAATTTTAAAGATGGTACCTAATACATTTATGAGAAGAGAGAAAAGTGAGTTTACTTTTTCGAAAAATTTGATAAACATTTTAAAGTCTTCATTATTTCTTAAATTCCATGCCTGGTCAAATGTTGCCGCATAAAATGGAACGTAGAAAGTATATAATTTATATAACTTCAATATTTGTAAGCAAGAAGCTGGAATAGCTCAGTTGGTTAGAGCGTGTGGCTGTTAACCACAAGGTCGGAGGTTCAAGCCCTCCTTCTAGCGTTTTCTTTTGATTTTCTATTCGATGTTTTGTATCCACGTTTTCTAAATTTAAGTATGAATCAAAATGAAAGTTCGGTGTTTTGCATCCACGTTAGAGCCTGACTATTTCAAATTTAAATATGAATCAAAATGAAAGTTCGAATGAATTTATTCAGATCATAGATAAGAAACAAATTTGCATATTCTTTTCTAGAAAAACAAAAAATTACTTTTTTTCTAATAAAAATAAATTGAGTTAATTAACGAGCGAATCCAATTAAAATTAGTTGGTTGGATCATATTTGGAGAAGGAACTCTTGGGTCAATCTAGTCCACCATGAAAAGTGTAAGGCCCAAGTCCACATTGTTTTTTTTTTAACTAGAAATGACACCAAATAGCCACTTTTACAGCTTGTTTGAATGATTGTTGCGTCTAGTTTCATAATATATTATATTGATAAGTATAATATTTGGATGGTTATATAATTTTTCGTTATTTTATAATACCTCACATTGAAAAAATGATAGATAAACATGTTAATCTAACATTTACGAAACAATTAAGCACTTTGACTTTGTGTATATCCACATCTAAACACTTCATTTTGTTTTCATTATATTAGTTAAATATTCCAACTTATAAAATGATCGACACCTCTAAAATCCTTATATCACGTCAGCTCAGATGTCCACGAGACATGAAATATTTAATTGTCAGATGAGATCAAGCGTATGTATATGTTCTTATGTTATTATTATTTCCCTTTGAAATTTTTATAGTACCAATATCCAAATCTTTTTAATTAAATAAATTCTCATAATGTGTACTCTAGTTGGATGTCAATTTTCCCAAAATCTTTTAAATATTTTTGTCCTTCTGTCTTATGCATTGGTTTTATTCTAAATTAAAACCTTTTTATCTTCTAGCCTAAGGATATTTCATTCTTCAATTCTGCTTCTTCCCAAAAACACAATAAAAGAACAACACTTTGTGGTCCTTCACTTAATTCCATTCCATTTCATTTTAATGAAGATATGTAGTTTTCTTTTCTTTTCATTAACTCTATCGTGACAATTCGCAGTCGTGATAATTTATACCTTGTAAGTGAGCAATTTGTGCACATTAGATAAATCTTCTATTGTGTAGCATGCAAATATATCGAGGATGTAAACTGTATTAGACGAATTCTATGCGACAAACTTGATCAAAAAGATACGGTGTGGATGACCACCTTCCAAACCAATTGAGTTATCTCGAAGCTATCTAACTTTCTATACAAAATATAATAATATACTCTCTTATCAACTATTATTTGTCAGGTATACTAAAAATAATTGTTCATAATTAATTGTCAATTTTAACAATCAAGAAACAATTAGTCACCTTTTCCAATTTTGCCCTTAAAAAATTACCTAACTATTGGTTTCAAAAAGTAATCATTTTAAAGTTACAAGAGCACTTTAAACTGAAAAAAAATTGTTTTTACAATTTTTAAAAAGTAAAAACCATTTTAATTATGATTGATAATAGAGTTATATTAATTACATTGCACCTTGTACTAATTTTTTCTTAAAGGATTGTGCACATGATATCATCCTAACAAATAATAGTGGACGAAGGAAGTACTTATAATTCCCTTTCACTTTTACTTGTCACCTTTACCTAAAACGAATTTTCATTTTCAAACTTTCGATCAAATTAAATTTTTTAATTCTCAAAAAATGAAAAGTGCTATATACATTAAAACAAAAGAAGTATATAGATTTCATTTTAAGAAAAAAACTTAAAAGTCCTATATCTAAATTCACATTCAAAATATAAACGTTTAAATCTCGAAATTTCAAACTACACCGTATAAATTAGGACAGATAAAGGGAGTAGTAGACAAGTAATATAAAGACAAGGTAACTAGATAAGGATATTATTTGACAAGTGTCATAAACTATGGCCTTATACTAATATTTCAAAATCAACACTTTCATCCAAAATATTGTCCCTCCAAAACCACAAACTCCATTTTCACCTGTTTTCTTCTTCTTTCCTTCAAACTCTTTTTGAAAAAAAAAATCTCATTTTTTTTTGCTTGTGATTTTTACACTTTTTTAGTTTTTTTTAAAAAAATCTCTGCTGCAATGGCTGTAGCAGAGTTTATTCCTTCTTCTTCATCATTGACTAAAAAAGCGAGTTTTTATTCATCACAACTCTCTAATGTTTCAACTAAGATCTCTCATCAACGTCGATTAAGCTTTAAGCCTTTATTGAGAACTCATAATCATTCTCAAATATGTTGCTCTGTTACTTCTAAGTATGTTGTTTGCTTTCTGTGTTTCAATTTATATGACTGTATTTTCCATTTTACTATGTCTCGAAAAAATGTCATGTTTTTTTTCTAAATTAGGAATAACTTAACTTTGAACTTCTCGTTTTACGCATAATTATTTGTTTTTTGTTTCTTAAATTTCGTGTTCAGTCAAATTCGCGGCATGAATTGGGATTAGAGAGTGTAAAATTTGCCTTGAAATTGTGTTTTTCGAATATAATGATCTGATTGATCTTTGTTACTTGTAAGTATGTTGTTACTTTTTCTGTCTCAATTTATATGATACGTACTTTTCATTTTACTATGTCTCGAAAAAATGTCATGTATTAGAAATAACTAAACTTTGAACTTCTTGTTTCACGCATAAATGTCTATGGTTTGTTTGTTTTTTTGTTTCTTAAACTTCGTGTCCAGTCAAATTGCGACTTGAATAGAGACGAGGGAGTGTAAAATTTGCTTTGCAATTGTGTTTTTCGATTTTAACGATCTGATTTATGTTCATGTTGATTGATGTTGCAGGGAAGCTCAAGCGACGACTGTAGTGCAGACTGATGATCCAAAGAAGAAATCAGAATGCTATGGAGTTTTCTGTCTTACTTATGATCTCAAGGCTGTAAGTTCTTCTATAGATACACTGGAAGTTTATATAATATGATATTGTTAAGTCGAAAAATGGAACTAGGATTTTGAATTCATGAGTTTCCAGGAAGAAGAGACGTCTTCGTGGAAGAAAATGATTACTGTTTCTGTGTCTGGTGCTGCTGGGATGATTGCTAATCATCTTCTATTCAAAGTAAGATTACATTCACAATTTTATTGTAATCCGCGGAAACAAAATATGGATAGTACTTCTGATTTGTGTTGACAATTATGGTCAAAAACACACCTGAAGTATCATTTCTTTTGTTGCGAGTTTCCCACCCCATCTATGAGTTGTTCCTTTTTCCTACCTGAACTATTACTATCTCAGTAGTAAAATTCACGTCAACTATCAAACATTGTCTTCTCTTACCTGAACGTTGGTGATAGTTGAGTTGTGTTTTAATACATAGACAGTGATAGTTCAAGAACGTACAATGATAGTTTGGGTAACTGACAAAAAACGATAGTTCAAGTGTGATTTTTGACCATTAACTATTACGTTTTGCCGGTTCCTTCAACCAGTTCATCATTTGTTTTGATATCTCAGCTTGCATCTGGTGAGGTTTTTGGGCCAGATCAACCTATTGCACTAAGGCTATTGGGGTCTGAGCGGTCAATCCAAGCGCTTGAAGGTATGTCCCCGTTATCTATCGACCATAGTCTCTCTACAGAATCTCTGTCTCTCTATGTATGTAAGGTTCTAGTCCATGTCAATAAGACCTTATTAGCTTATCCTTGTTTAACCGGTGACTTCACTTGTCCGTCACCTAGGGGAGCTACGTTGCTTGGATGTTCCAAACAATGTTATCGCACCCGTGTTGTATCTACTGCTATATCAATGAAATTGAATTGTAAGTTGTAACAAGTGATCTAAAAACTTTTTACTACAAAGTTCATTGATCATTTAACTTGATCAAATAGAAATCTAGTTAGATCATATAGTTAACAAATATAAATTAGTTTTCAACAACAAAAAAAATGTACTCGTTCATACCTCCCAATCCTAAAATATATGTGATATCACTACAACAAAAACAACTTTTAGCGGCATTAAATATCGACATTAATAAAGAGTGCTAAAGTATTTATCGGCATTAGTTAAGTATCATTAGAAATAATGTCGCTAAAGGCTTTGGGGACATATACAAAGAGTGTTAATTGCTGCTAATGATCATTTTTTATGCAGTGAATCGAATTCACCCTCTAGATTTGCCCCTATACCCGAGTAACATAGCCTAGTAGATATACACATGCTTGTGGTCTGGCATTAGGTGTTAATGACCTTTCTGATTCTGGACTTGCTTTCGCTTATATTCATAGTCGTTATCAAGTCTCGTTTGATTATTTTCAATCCTGCTTTGATTTGATTTACTTGAGTCGAGGGTCTACTATAATCAGTTGTTTATATGCAGGAGTTGCTATGGAACTAGAGGACTCTTTGTATCCTTTGCTTAGGGAGGTAAATATAGGTATAGATCCCTATGAGGTGTTCCAGGATGCAGAATGGGCACTTCTCATTGGTGCAAAGCCTCGAGGCCCCGGTATGGAACGAGCTGGCTTATTGGATATAAACGGCCAAATCTTTGCTGAACAGGTTTCTTCTTCTTGCTCTCCTAAGTTATAACATTTTTCGGATAACTGACAAAAATCAGTCCGTTTATGGTTGGAGGTTGGTCTAAATTAGCAGCTTTAGTCCTTCATGTAGCAGGGTTGGTTTTCGTCACGTTTGAAGCACATGATGATCGTTACATTTATTCGAATTCGCTCCTGAGAAGCACGTGAATCGTTTATACTGTTAAAAGACATCAAGACGAAGTTCTTTCGGTGCTGTCTAGCTAGTATGTGTTTACTGCTGGCCTGGTACAAATTGAGGGAATGAACTGGAAAACGTCCGCCCTGATTATTTCTTCAGTTTAAACAGCTCATGTGCTCCTCACGAGTCAATTCTACGAAATATAACTACCACTGTATGTTTTTCAGTAAAACGGATATATTAAAAGACTAAATTCCCAAATATAACAACAATGAACAACATACTCAGTATAGTCCCACAAGTGGAGTCTAAGGAGGGTAGGACGTACACAGACCTTATAGACCCTCGACTCAAACATAAGCGACTAGTTTTTATCATTTCTCTTAAGTTTAATGGTTTCTGAAGGCCAAAAAGAAAAAAGTTCAAATCAATATTTTGCGTTGTTTGTCAAATGATTACAGGGGAAAGCTCTCAATGCCGTTGCATCGCGAAATGTTAAAGTGATAGTTGTGGGAAACCCTTGCAATACCAAGTAATGAATTGTCTCATCTGTTTTTTCCTGTTTTCATTCTGTTAATTCCTAATGTGTTTTTTTTTTCTGTTCCTTTTCAAGTGCATTGATTTGTTTGAAAAATGCTCCAAATATACCAGCAAAGAACTTCCACGCCTTGACGAGGTTAGATGAAAATAGAGCCAAATGCCAGGTATATAACAGTAAAATCTTTCTTTCCATGTTTCATCGCGTATAGTCATTTAACTTATCCAATATAACAGTAAAGTCGCAAAACTACTTTTAATAGTATCTGAATTTTACCTCTATGACCGAAAAAATCACTAAACTGTGCCTACTAATACAGTAAAATCACAGGAACTATTTTTCTCGCATTGAAGTAACTAAATTTTATCCAATGTAACCGTAAAGTCACAAAATTAATAATCATGACTTTATTGCAATGTTACTTGAACTCTCCGAAAATGTTGTCGCGCATGTCTCGGATTCTTTGAAAATGCACTACTTTAGGATCTGGCATGCACCGTTTGACATTTTTAAAGAGTCCAAGCAATATAATATAGTAAGTGAAGTTCAGCGACCATATATGGCTTTTCATGGTGAACAAAGAAGTTATTAAGACAACATCTCATGGTTCTGTGCAGCTAGCTCTAAAAGCTGGAGTCTTTTATGACAAAGTATCTAATGTTACCATTTGGGGCAATCACTCAACAACTCAGGTAATTATGTTTCATCGACCGGAGATTGGACTATTGGTTTATTTATATTGACTTGGGAAATCCTCCTTTCGTGAGCTAGCTTTTGGAGTTAGGCTACGCCCAAGTGTCATATTTTTACATGGTATCAGAGCTAGACCTCCCCCTGTTTGGGCTCCCGATCAGTGCTCAAGCGTGAAGGGGTGTTAGACTGAGTTAGAGTGCCATATCGATAAGGGAATGGATGTGTGGTCTGCTTATATGGACTTGGGCTAATCCTTCCCTTATGAGCTGGTTTTGAGGGTTAAGTTAGGCTCAAGTGTCGTATCTTTACATTAGTAACATCATGGTTAATTTATTTGCTATCACTTATCAGGTTCCAGACTTTTTAAACGCTAAAATTAATGGATTGCCAGTCAAAGAGGTGATTAAAGACACTAAATGGTTAGAGGAAGAGTTCACTGAAAAAGTCCAAAAGGTAAAAATATCAATTTCAATGTTGTTGTTTTTTGGCAAGCACGCGTACAATGAGCTCATCTGATAAAATACCAGGTGGCGTACATATCCCACGCCACCTGGCATCCCTTATGGATACCACCTGTTGCACCAACTCAACCATCAATTACAATGTCGTAACTTGTAAGTTAAATTTTGCAGAGAGGTGGTGTACTTATTCAGAAATGGGGTAGATCTTCAGCTGCATCAACTGCTGTGTCGATTGTCGATGCAATAAGGTCTCTTGTCACTCCTACACCTGAAGGAGATTGGTTTTCTACTGGAGTAAGTTTCACGTAACTCTTCCTTCTAATTAAGAGGCACAACCATGATTCGACGTTTCTCTGTTTTGAATTTGCTTTCAAATTCATAGTTCGTTTTAGTTACTAAGTTACACAATCAAAGAACGTATGTTCACAAGTTATAGACCAACTCATTTGAAGCGCGAATCATGCAATTCAATGTCTTTAATATCCACTTACATGTCGATTGTTTTTAGTTTTCGGAATCTCTTGTTGTATAATTTTCCTACAAATGTGTAGGTATATACAAATGGAAATCCTTATGGAATAGCACAGGATATAGTTTTCAGTATGCCTTGTAGATCAAAAGTAAGTATTTTTTTCTCCCTAAATTTGTATTTTATATGATGGAATACTAAGTAATATACTATCATGAGCTCGAAAATACTTATCGTTTACAGGGAGATGGTGATTATGAACTAGTAAAAGAAGTTATATTTGATGATTACCTTTGGAACCGTATAAAAAAGGTACTTGTTATCTCTCTCTTGTTTCGGAATTTAAATGAGATGATTACATAACTAAAACATATGGTTGAAAGCGCATGTTGAGACATAATAATAACACTAAAGGGCGCGTTGAGACATAATAACACTACGTTACTAAAATTTTACAGTCAGAAGATGAGTTGCTCGCGGAGAAAAGATGTGTTGCCCATCTTACAGGAGAGGTGCGTTTTTTTTTACAGCACTGAGATATAAATTTGTTTCTCTGTCTCGAAATGGACTGAAAATGAGTTTTTTTCTCTCCGTCTTTTAGGGTATCGCGGTCTGTGATCTCCCCGGAGATACGATGCTTCCCGGAGAGATGTGAAACCAGCAAACCATATTGTTACAAATTATGTTTTAAGAACTTGCATAGAATGCAAGTGTTTGTTTGTAATTTGTGTATCATTGATAAATCAGTCTCAACAAGGGAGATAATAAATGAGACACAGTATCAACATTATTCTAATCGAGTCGATTCCATGATTATAATTTCATTCCGTACTAGAGTGAACCCCACATATGGTTACTAGCTTTGGGTACGCGCGTTGTACGTATATCCGTATTAGTTGGTATCAAAGTTTTCTATACAATTTCAACTTATATATTAAAAATAGATACTAAAGTGTATCGAAAATACAAGTTTCTAAAGATAAATGAGTATTCATAATAGATTTAATATTTGCAAAGTTGAAATATAAATTAAGGTAGTATTTATAGTATTTATAATAGTTACTTTGCATAATGTTACTTAATGATGTAAAAGAAAATGATATTTATTTAAAATGTGTTTTCTAACAGAACATTCCATATAATTTTTATATTAGATTTGAGATATATTTATCCACTTGTAATAAGTAACACATAAAATGCTTCCTTATCCACATGTAAAAGATAATGCAAAAGAAAAAAAATACTAATTGGATTTAAATGCAACCCAGTTTAATTAATATTTACGTGGTATAAAGTGGTTACATTGAAATTTACTTCAATATTTCAGTTAATTTAATGATTTAGTTGACAAAATTGAAATAGAAGAGTCCAAACTTATAAACAGAATTAAATATAAGAATCTCATGATATATATATATATATATATATATTATGATTATTATTTAATATTTGATAGATAAAATATTTTGATAGTAATATTTTCTTGAGTGCAAAGTAAAATGGTAATCTAATCGCATCGATCAATGAGGTTGAGCAAAAACTCTACGTTTCTGTTACTGTGATCAATGAGGCTAAGCAACGACGTCTCGTTTCTGGAGAGTTCAATTAGGTCTAGGATTATAAGTTAATTTATAATAAATAAATATTTATTAAAACCGCAGAGTTAAAATGGTAAATCAGTGGGCAAAACTCTTCCTACTTACGATAATATATGATATACATCAGACTCCTATATGAACTACTCCACAGAAGCTATTTCACCAACGATGTCAACTTATCCTATGTACAATAGTAGTGAAGAACTATCGATTTTAACTTGGTCCAACACAAAAATATAATTCAATGTAATCTCACAATAGTAGTGAAGAACTATCGATTTCATCTTGGTCCAACACAAAAAAAAATCTAATGTATCAAAGTCTTAATTGAGATGAAATAATAGACCAGAGTATGTATGATAACATATCCACCTTGAGCTTTGGTGATCAAGTTATCCTTTAGTGAGTGCTGAAACCTTAACTGGCACAGATTATGGTTCCAATTCTGAGGCTCATCAAAAGCATTAGGAACGAAAAGAATAGATAACAGAACCAGCCTCTGGAAATCGTCGAAGTAGTCTTTCCTGGATGAATCTTATGAAATGAATCCATGGAAGAGTCATCACTACTACCCCGTGATAGGCCAAGAGATAGGATAATGTTGTAATACACATGCTTGCCCAATGGCCATCTCGTCCCATTGCCAGCAGTGACCTGAACTGAACTAGCTGACCGAGAGAATGAGTTCAGACGGAGAATTGCATCTTTTGTAGGGAACTCTGAAGCAAATGCTGGAGGAGCGTGAATATTGCCCAACATCTGGCTTGCCTGCTTTATAAATGGATACTGATAATCTGCAATATTGAAAAGCAAATAACAAATATTAAAGGGAAAAGAAGCCTGATTCCCAGAAAAGTTAAGACTAAGCTAAATAACATATCCAATGGGTAACAAAGTCAAAAAATAGTCTCATCGTTACCTGATTCAAATTTAGTTGGTACCAGTTTGGAGGACGATGCAATACCATTCTTATCTTCACTAAACCCTTCATTGGGCGCAATAGGTTGCTGAGTTACCTCCCCAACGTCCTGCCACATAATAGAAAACATAATATGTAAGCCTCAGCATGACTACTAGGACAGCTAAGAGAGAGTGAAGCTGGAAAATAATGTTACCTTCTGAGGCAGCAGTGCTTGATCAGAAATTTGATCATCATTTCCAAAGAAAACTGAAGGATCAAAACTCATATTCTGAAAGTCGTCATTTGCATCAAAGTAAGTAAGGTATTCCTCAAGCATGTCGAAACCAGAGCTGTCAGCCTGAACGGGATTTGAAAGATCATTAGCTTCGAGGAAAGCTTCATCATTAAATTGGAGGTCATCAGTCCCATTTACAATTGGTTCATTAAGCAAGTAATCCCCATCTTCAGAGTTCATGTTCTTGCTTGATTCACCAATATATTCATGATTGACTTGCTCAGCATTAAAATTCTTTTGAACAGCTAGATCAATTGGTTTAAGCTCGTCAGGTTGCTGTGCATCAGAGGAGTTATTTGTCTCCTCCGTACTTCCATTTTCACCATAAGAATAATCCGAAGGAAAAGAAGCACCAGCCACAGCTTTGTCGGTCCCAAGAATCTGGGTGCAACAGAAGAATTACAAGAAATCAGAACATATAGGTTAAACCTTCCTTGTAGGATTCTACAAAATTTCGCCAGGATTAAGTTTCAAACAAGGACAGTAAACCTTGTCAAATAAGAGATACTTGCAGAAACTATGTAAAACGTCAATCTATAACAGTTTATACAGTTCATGAGAAAGACACAGAGAGAAAGAGAACAGGCTTTTCGCATCACCCAGACATGCATAAAACAAAAGGAAAAATAACATATTCATCTGCGACAAATACCTGGTCAAGTTCATTTGCATCAAAATATATATCATCACCAAATACAAAATCCTCAGTAGTCTCATCCTTCGAAGGAACTTGTAACTCATCATCCTCCCATTCCTCCTCTATAAAAGGTGCCCCATACTGTTCCCCATTCTTCGGCCCTGCACCACTCTTCTGGAAGACTCTGCATAAAACAAATGCATCCTTTTCGCCAAAAAAGGAAAAAGAGAAGAAAATAAGATAAGGTGATGAAACTATGTAGGCAAATTACTAGAAATACGCACCCAAGAGCAAAAAACGACAACGACCCCACAAGCACTCCCAAATAGGGGCAAGGGAAGAAAGAAAATTTGCATTCACTCTGTCCATCTGACCACTTACCTTCAGCATTTTTCTATTTCCCTCCAGAAGCAGCTTTGAGGGAACTGGATAAGGATGTGAGATGCTTATAAATTTTTCACATTGAAAAAAAAGTCACTATCCGCCAAAGACAAACATGATTATATACAAACAATCTTTATGAAAATACAGAAAAAATAAAATAAGAACCCTCAAGTACCTGAGGAATTCCAGCTTTATCTAATGCCTCATCAATCAATCTGTACTCATGCATCACCCAATTAGTTCTCTGACCCTTTGGAGCACGACCACTGTGATAAACTAAAGTCTTCTTCATCCCAACAACCTGAGACTTATTACGATGGACAGCCCTATCCTTTCCGGTTGTCTTCCAGTAGCCTTTTTCTGTTGCTCGGTTGGTTCTTGCTCCATTGCCATACTTCTTATCAAGAACACTAAAGAAATACCACTCCAAATCTCTTGTCTTCAGCCTTGACATGCCTGAGGAACCATAACATTACACTCAGCTTATAATATAACTCACAAGTATCTGACGATCAACTCAACCAATACAATTTTTACTAAATGGAAAGAAGCCCTAAGCTTTGGTTTTAGAACTTCCAGGGTGGCAACATAAAAGAACTATGATAAAATAGCTACTGCAGTCAGAATATATACAGACACACGATTGCGCAATGTAGTCCTGGATGAAGATTTGATGTATACTGTGACCCAAATTGAACAAAAGGAAAATACATTCTTCTTAATCAGGTGTACAAAAATTACTACAATTAACAAGTTGAACAAGTCATTACAATAAATCACATTCACCACATATGTACACATCTAGTACAAGTTCCAATATAGTTTCAATTAATCCCCAAGAAAGAGGATACAACAACTTACAAAAATCCTTTCTTTTATATAGACATGGTGTAAGGGCCACTCCCTACACCTTCTTTTGAGCTGAAAGTCCATCAAAAACAGCCTCTCTATCGCATACAACACATCCTCCCCAAAGCTCACTTGAGGAATCACACCGAGTATGTTGGTAATGGTGGTCTACAAGGACACTTTACTCGACAAATTACACCGGATACCTGCAACCTCAACAAATTACACCGAATACCTCACACACACCGACACAGCTAACTCTGATCACTAAAGCTCGAAGTTCAAACAACTTACAAAATTCTCAGCAACTAACCAACAAATTTGGAGAAAACCAAACCCCTTAAATCTTAATCCTTCCCTCTACTAACCATCCAATTAACAACAAATGACCTCAAATTCCATAGATCTATACATAAACAATCAATTAACTCATAAAACAAAAACTTTCCATCAATTATGAGCTATAAAAAACTTAAATTAAAAGAGACTAACCAGGAAGATCCCATGGTTCAACCTTGTAAATATCAATCTCCGATATAAGATCAGACTTAAACGTCCTTCCATAGATTTTCCGGCGGAGATAGTACCTAACCAATTCTTCATCCGTCGGATGAAATCTGAACCCCGGCGCCAACAATTTCGATGATCCTCTCGATTCCATCAACCACACTAAAAAAAATTCAAAAAATTCACAAAAAAAAAATTAAAATTATCTAAGACCTTATACTAAACACAGATAAAAAGAAAATTGAGATTAAATTTAGGAATTTGGGGTATTGTGAGATTTAGGGTTTAATGGACTTGGAAAAAAGACATTTTTGAACTTTGGTCGAAAAGAGAATTTTGATGAATAAATAATTTAAAGGAAGACGATTCGTATATATTGATGACGTAAATATTTTGGTTACCCCTTTGACAAGTTTTTGAAGAAAATAAAATATAAGATATTTTTTATTTTATAAGGATAAGAATAATACATAAAATAAATAAATAAATATATATAATATTAGATGTTGAGAAAAAAGAAATATGAAGGGCAACAAAAGTATATAAAAATAGTACTTATCTTGCATATATTTTTAAACAATTTATTATTATTATAATAATATATTCAGTTAAATTTTATAAAAAATTAGATACTTGGCGATAATTCAAAGTTAGTATACGATTTCTCTATTTGGCCGTGTGTTTAATATGTTGATATTATCGCTCATTTGTCTAATCTATTTTCTGAATAGCTTTTTATGAAAAATAAAAAACTAACTTAACTAAGCGCTACTATTGCTAACATTCCATTCTCCCTCTTCTTCCGTTCTACAAACTAGAATAACGAATCGTGAACATAATTTTATTTATCCATAAAAAAATAGATTTAAGAGGAAATGAAATTTATGTTTGACTTTAAATTTGATTAAAAACTGTTGGTTATTGGACCAAGTCAGCCATATTAAGTAGTATTAACTTTGTTATTTGTTTAATTAAGTACTTGTCTACTTTAATACTTGGTGTTGCTTCAATTGCCAAACCTAACTTGTTTGCATCTCTTCCTTAATCCACAAGGAAATATGGGTGGAGCCATTTTAGAAAAAAGTTTGTTCGGTTCATATTTTTTATCGAAAAATTATATAATGTATAGATATCAAATGTTAACTTGATATAATAGCATTTCAATTACAAGAGTGTATTTGTCATTATACCTTATGTATGAGTCTAAATCTTCTTGACAAGCTCAGAACTTGAGTGACTATGAAAATGTGAACTCGGAACATCTATTTTGCATTGATATTGCGTTAAATGAATTGTAATCTTTCTATATAAGATGATCACAGATACTATACTTATAAGTTATGATTCATTCAAAGAATAAGCTACTCGAGAGTAAAATCCCATGGACTATAAGAAAAAAATAACAATTTTTCTTGATGCACGTGATGATACGATTAGTGACACCTCTTATTATGTTACCTTGCAAAAATAAACTACTAAACGTACAAAATACTTTACTTAGCTTGTTAATAAAATAGGAAAATTCTTTTTAGAAAATAGGTTTCAAACTATAACACTCTTAAGAGCATATAAACTAAACACATTTATACTTTTCATTACACCTTATTTACAAGCCTAAAATCTTCTTGATGAGCTACAGCTTGAGTGGATGTGAAAATGTGAATTTGAGACATCTTGTTCAAAGTTCGTATTAGAGCTCTGGCTCAATCTAAATCGTGCACTCTAGAGCCCATTCAGGATAGCACTCCCAACGAAATTTTCTTCCTGCCCAAAACTCAAATTCAAGACTTCTAATTCATGGTGAAGCAGGATCATCACTGCACTACAATCATGTTTTGCAATGCACGAGTCTATTGAACTTCCTACATTTTACATAGCTAATGATGTGATTTTACTCCTCTTAATGTATAATCTTGTTGAATTTATAACTTCATCATATGAAACAAATTGTTCTATCGAAAAAATATATATTTAGTTACACCATTTTATGATGGTTGTGTACATAGATCATACATTATATTTAGTTACACCATTTTATGATGATTTTGTACATAGATCATATATTATATTCAGTTACACCATTTTATGATGGTTGTGTTATTGTGTACATAGACCAAATTGCAGAAATAAATTACTTAAAACCTCCATAGTACTTTCTTTAGCTTGCTAATAAACACAAGGAAAATCCTTTTTTACTACATAGTTTTTTCTAAATTGAAACACTCTTGGAGCATATAAACATTTTTGAGTGAAAGTGGAATTTCTTTAGAAGAAACTCCGAAAATTTTTTGGAAACAAATTTTTGAAAATCAATGTTTTGGTTGAAAATAAATTATCGCAAGATAAAGATAAACTTATATGGGATAGCTTATCGAAACAGTATAATGTGAATAGTGAGATAAGCTATCTCCGGTATAGCAACCAAACAAGACACAAAAGTTTTATCCCGATAATATTGAAGGCAGAGATTGCAACTGAAGGCACTTTATTTATAACTAGTTAAACATACGACATTATGTCGATAGCATCATAGGTACAAGTTTATAGCAAAACTAGGTAAATAAACTTATTACATAGCTAGCCATTTTCAGTTTCTTCTAACTTAAAAGACAGTTCTACTAATTGAGGACTCCGATACAACGGAGCCCTCTGCCCGGCCAACAGTTGCTGCATAACTAGCATTACTTTGGAGTTGTTGTTACCATCTAACCTCGACGAATGAGTCCCCTCAAGTCCTCGTTCTCCTTGTTCAAGAAATCGAGACGTGATTGAAGAATGTTGATCATAGCTTGAGCTCTCATCACTTCAATCTTCGCAGTCTCCCTTTCCATGGAGACGTTTAGTATCTGGTTCTCTAAATTGCTAATGAACTTCAAGTAACCTGGAGGAACAGATTTTTCAAGATTGGAAGAGTCAAAATTAAAGGAGTTAGTAGGTGGAGCTTCTTTTGGTTCATCTAACAAGGGAAATGTTAAGAGAGTAGGGGAGTAAGTTGTCGCCATCGTCTTTGTTGGTGGATCCTGTTGGCTAGTGGTTGAATCTTCAGAACCATTTGCATGGCTAGAGCTAGGATCATCATGCTTGGATCTTTTGCTTTGAGATAAAGAGAGTAGTTCGAGATCCTCTGACCTTTCCCTCTTGCAAACAAACGAAAGAGCTCGAGGCTCAAACAGGTTCTCACTTACGCAAGGAGCCTTACCACGCACATCCTGCTTTGGACATCCAACCGTTAGCGACAAGGAAAGAATTACCTAGAACATATTAAAGCATAACCAAGCATCAAGTTATGCATAAGATCACAATACTCAACATGCTAGCACATATTTATGGAGCTTCAGGTATGTAATGTCAATTTAACACGAGCACTAACGAATAAATTTAACAACAAAGCACGATTTCATCCATAACTACAATCATCGCTAAACAAACTCACAGCCAACCATATCAGAAAACTAATGCATCACTGTTTTTGCAAGTTGAAGTTCATCCCCCGGGGTTAGCAATGAGTGTCCAGATAAAACACTTGAGGATGAAAATATAAACGATTTGTGGCAACGTCTCCCGTACAATTATCTGGAAATCAAAGGGAATGGCTACACAAGGGAGCTTCAAACAAGGTATTCATCTACTAGAATTGTTCTATAATAAGAAGGGGAGAAGTAAACAAAGCATAAAAAAGGGCAAGCGTATCACACATTCTCAACAAATAATTTATTATCTCGTAATCTAATGTAAGCGAGTGTATCACACGTTCACGACTCAATTATTAGATCTAGTGTAACCCTTGACAAAGAGGCAGTCAAAGTTTCTACTTAAGGTAGGGCATAGAAAACTAGGAATTGGCTAGCTCTACTCCGTAAGTACACATATTGTTACCTACGTGATAACTGCACCTGCCTGTGAAAAAGAGATAAATCTGCAGTTTCAGTTATTCTTATTAAGAAGTTTTGACTATTTGACATGCGATAAAATGAGAAATTAATGCATGAAACGAGTAGCGGAGAAACTGAATATTTGAAAAAAGCTAGACTTTAGAGGGCAAACTTATTATACTTGGAGACGGAGAAGCGGAGAGACTGAATATCAGTCCATTGAGGACAGAAAACAACCACTCAGCCAATTTGTACCTCTCACCGAACAAAAGTGAGCTAGAATGAAAACTCAGAAACCAAGTTCTTTTCGTGCTCTACTTGGGGCAACAAAAAATTATGACACAATACAGAACATAATTTAATGGAGAAACTACTGTGTTCTAACAGAAACCGATGCTCCTGAAAAACGGTAATACAAAGAGAACCAAGAGAAAATAAAACGTGGCAGATGTTCTTGCAATTAAAACTATAAGGGTTTAGGTTTCTAAAGAATAATCATACTAGGAGAAAACGAAAATGAAAAAAAAAAACTGCCTGTACATGTAATGACTCGCAATGAAAAGCAAAAAGGGTTTGAGTTTCCAAAAGCAACCTTACGAGGAGAAAAAAGAAAACCTAGAAGAACAGCAAATATTCATGCAATTAAAAAACACCGATCTACATGTAACGACAATAGCATTCATACTTTCTTGTAATAGTAAGTGGTATCTATCCGCATTAATACCAGCGACAGAAAGGGCAGAAGTTGTATTTATCCGGATTAATAGTAGCGGCGCAAAGAGCAGAAATAGGCAATATTTGGATTTAATGCAACAATTCATGTAACATCGAAGATCATGAGAATATGAACCTGGTCAAACTCATTTCCCTCGACTCGTGCTTGATTACCATTGGCCACGTCATTCTCTGTCACTCCTCCGGCAACCAGAGGGGCTGTGTCGTCATCCCATTCCTCCTCAATAAATGGTGCGTATCTGTCGCCATTAGGAGGCCCTAATCCACTTTTCTGGAAGATCCGACAGAGTACAAAGGCATCCTATTTCCTCGCAAGCAAACAGAACACATTAATTCAAAACTTCATTTAGAAGTAGGTTTACAATCCATACATTTTCCAATATCAAATTCGCACCTGCACAACTCCAGCTGCATCCAATTCTTTATCGTCAAGTCTGTACTCATGCATTACCCAGTTAGTTCTCTCTCCATCAGGAGCTCGACCCTTATGGAAAACAAGCGTTTTCTTCATTCCAATGATTTTAGAATTGTGGTTCACATTACGATCCTTTCCAGTAGCTTTCCAGTAGCCCTCTCCAGTGGCTCTATTAAGTCTAGATCCATTCCCATACTTCCTATCTACAGGGCTGAAAAAATACCACTCTAAATCTCTGGTCTTCAGAGCTGAATAATCTGTGCAAGAAAGACCAAATGTTAATGCATCAAAATCAATGACTACAAAGTTCAAGAG